CTACAGAACATGAGGGTAAAGATGCTGCAAGCCTTGAGTTCTCCCATGAGGAGCTCAGTTCATGGGATAGAAAGGGCCTTTTTTATATAGTTTCTGCTGCTGATTATCTCGGGTTTATGTCAGTTCATTTGAATGAACCAAATGATTTTCAAAGCACTTTACTGTACAGTTTTTTTGTCACATATTATATGAGAGGTAGGAAACCAATCCTCCTAGCAGTGACAAGATGTGCATTTCAGAGCCTGGGCTGTCTTGGCTCTGAAGCTCTTTCTCCTGCATTCCACTGCAGAGGTATAGTTAGTGCATGACAACTGAACCCGCTCTGATGGATCTCTGCTGTACTGTATGATAAGATTATTGGGACAGGAAGGTGGCCAACGGTGATGAATCGTCAATGTGGTAAGAATGGTAAATGTACAGAATGAGAGAAAGCACAGGGATGGAATCCCTTATGGTTTGTCTATTTAGAATGATAAGGAATAAATCTGAGTGTCTCATGAGAGATAAAGGAAGGAAGAGAGAAAATACTATAGCACAGCAACAGGAAGTCATGCAACATGTGACCAAAACAGGAAATTGTGAAAAGTCCTCAGTAGTTTAGGAGCAGAGCATTAGTTCAGTCTGGCACTGTGTCATTGTGGTTTCCTGGTGATGAGCTCTTAGTCCGAGGCACAGTGTCTATATGATGGCTAAGTTCTCTCTGTCTCTCTATCTCTCTCTCTGTTTCTCTCTCTTCCCCCTTCTTCCCTCCATTCCTCTCACCTATCTGTATTTATGTGTGTGTGTCTGTATGCTGTGATTAAGTGTGTTAATTCCATGTCATAGGGACTGACATTAAGACTACAGCTAGGCAAGGGCCGGAACAGAGATGCCATGATCACCGTCCAGGCGTTAGACCTGGTGAGATGGCTCAGAGGGTTAAATGTGTGTGCTACAAAGCCTGAGGGCCAGAGTTTGACCTCTGGGTCCTACAAGGTGGAAGAAGAGAACTAACTCTGACAAGAAGTTTTCAGACTGCCATGTGTATATAAAAGTGTTCTCTCTCTCTCTCTCTCTCTCTCTCTCTCTCTCTCTCTCTCTCTCTCTCTGTCTCTCTCACACACACACATACACACACACACATACACATACACATACACACACTGCATACTGAATGAGTGAAATTAATTTACAATTTTCAACAATGCTGGATTTAGTAAAAATAACACTTTTTAAAATGTAACTATACAAAAATTGTGCTTTTAGGAAATATCAAATGCACTTTGATAGCCATACTTCAAGGAACTGATGACGTATTTCTTTTTATATTAAGATTTTTTAATACAGTCTTTTCTCATTTTACATAGCTTTTCCCATTCATTCTCCCTCCTCTCCTACTGCTTCCTCCACCATCCCCCTACCCCACCTCTCCTTCCACTCCTCAGAAAGAGTAAAGCTTCCGATGGGGAGTCAACAAAGTTTGACACTTCTCTTTGAGGCCAGACTAAGGCCCTACCTTCCCCCTCATATCTAGGCTGAGCAAGGTATTCCTCCAAAGAGAATGTGCTTCTAAATACCAGTTCAAGCACTAGGGATAAATCCCTCCCAGTGGTCCCACAAACTGTCTAAACCACAACTGTCCCCCACATTCAGTGGGCCTAATTTGGTTATGTGCAGGTTTGTCTGCTTTCAGTCCAGAGTCAGGGAGCTCTCACTAGCTCAGGTCAGCTGTTTCTGTGGGTATCCCCATCATGGTTTTGACCACTTTGCTCATATTATCTCTCCTCCCTCTCTTGGACAGGTCTCATATAGCTCGGCCCAGTGCTTTGCTGTAGATCTCTGTATCTTCTTCCATCTGTTTCTGGTTGAAGGTTCTATGATGACAATTAAGGAGTCATCAGTCTGATTACAGGGCAAAGCCAATTTAGGTGTCCTCTCCACTGTTGCTTACAGTCTTAGCTGGGGTCATCCTTGAAAATTCCTGGGATTTTCCCTAGTGCTATGTTTTTTTGATAGCCCTTTAATGGCTCCCTCAATCAAGATATTCTTTTTCTCACTCACTGTCCTTCCCCTTCTTGAGTATCCCATGTCCTCATGTTCTTTTCTTTTCTCTCTTTCTTCCCTTCCCCTTTCCACCCTCCCTTCTCCATGCCCCTCCTAATTTTCTCAGGAGGTCTTGTCTGTTTCCTCATTCCAAGGGGATCCATGTATGTCTCTTTTAGGGTTCTCCTTGTTCCCTAGCTTCTCTGGGATCTTGCACTGTAGGCTGGATATCCTTTGCTTTACATCTAATATCCACTTATGAGTGACATCAAATTACCAAATAATACAATCAAAAAATGGGGTGCAGAACTAAACAAAGAATTCTCAACAGAAGAATCTCAATGGCCAAAAGACACTTAAGGAATTGCTCAAAATCCTTAGCATCAGGGAAATGCAAATCAAAACAACCCTGAGATATGATCATATACCTGTCAGAATGACTAAGATCAAAAACACCTATGATAGCTTATGCTGGAGAGGATGTAGAGTAAGGGGAACACTCCTCCATTGCTGGTAGAAATACAAACTGTACAGCCACTTTGGAAATCAGTATGGTAGTTTCTCAGAAAATTGGGAATCAATCTACTTCAGGACCTAGCAATACCACTCTTGGGCATATACCCAAAAGATACATCCTCATAACACAATGACATTTGCTCAACTCTGTTCAAAGCAGCATTATCCATAATAGTCAAAACCTGGGAACACCCTAGATGCCCCTCAACTGAAGAATGGATAAAGAAAATGTGGTACATTTATACAATGGAGTACTACTCAGCCATTAATAAACACAATGACATCTTGAAATTTGCATATAAATGGATGGAGCTTTAAAAAACCATCCTCAATGATGTAACTCAGATCCAGATGATATATTTCTTAACTAAAAAGGATAATCATAACTATTAAAATTTAGTATATTTTTTCTTGAATATTTCTCTGGTGCATGCTTTCTTGATTATTTTGTCATTTTAAAATCACTTTAATTACAGGTTAGGCATGGTGATGGTCAAGGTTAGCCTGCCTCAGGTATTTATTCTCTCTCCCTTTCATACCTTGCAATTCCTACAGTTTCTCTCTTCTTGTACTGTAAGATTAGCAACACATGAAAACTGACACTCAAGTCTTGACCATCACACTAATTGAAATTATATATCTTGGAAAAAACCTTATTGAGAGGATTTCATCTTATCTTTTATTATTTTTATTTGGTTATCATTTTCTTTATATAAAAACCCTAAAGTTGTCTAACTTTCTATTATGTTATAAAAAGCCTTGATATTTACAGATTTTTCCTAAACTGAGATGTTAAGACTGTGACAAGTCTCTGTTCTTGAGTTTAAGTGTGGTCCTTACATAACCTGGGCTTGCCTGGAACTTAGCATATAACCCACGCTATCCTTTACAATCCTGCCTCAACCTCATATTTGGTAGGGTTTTAGTCATATGATTATCCTTGTTTCCCTTTTATCTGGAGTAATGTGATTTGCTTGGGATGTACTAGAGAAGTACTCTGCCAGTAAGATTCTACTCTAGCTCCTTCTATGATGGTAAGGCAAATTACCAAAATTGATTTAGAAAACAATTATGAAGTTTTTATAATTTCTCTTCCCTCCTTCCTTCCCTCCCTTCCTCACTCCCTCTGTACTTTTGAGATATGGCTTCTCTGTATAGCCCTGGCTGTCCTGGCACTAGCTTTGTAGACCAGGAGGCAAACCTCAAACTCACAGAGATCCACCTCCCTCTATTGGGATTAAAAGCCTGCATCACCAGCACTTGACTTATAATTTATCATTTCTGATCTCATCCCTCTAAATAACTTCCCAGACTTGTTACATGTAAAAGTTTTTTTTAATTTTTATTCTTAAACTACATTTTCTCAATTAATTTATTACACATTCTAGTCTTCAAGATTGTCAGTTCTGAAGGAGATATACAATGTTCACATTATCTTTTGTGTACTGTACAGTTAATCCATTACACTGTGGGTTATACGAAATATACTGGTTTTTTAATTAATTAATTAACTTATTTATTTATTTTACATTCTGATCACAGTTTCTACTAGCTGTAAAGTAAAGGATAACCATGCTATAATCCACAGCCTCAGAGAAGCTAGGGAGCAGCGAGGGCTCAAGGGGAACACTCAGATATCCCTGGGAAGGAGGAATAGAAGAGATTTCTTAGGTGAACTGGAGGTAGATGGGAATGGGAACATGAAGGACCAGATAGGGGTAGTGTGGGAGAGAGAACTGAAAGAACCCACTGGAAAAGGCATCACTTCAGGGTCAGGTAGAATCATGGTACAAGGGAAACTCCCAAGGATCTACAATGATGACATCAGCTAAGATTCCTAGCAAAATGAATACATGGCCTGATCCATGGCCACTTCCTGTGTCCAGGCAAGACTACCAGTGGAGGAATTGTGACACCAACCCAACCACAGAACTTTTGACATATCGTCTGTCCAGACTATGGGACGTGCTGGCATAAGGGTGACAGAGATTCTGGCAGTGGCCAGCTAATATAGTGTACCTTTGTTGCAGGGTAGTGGCCTCTTTATAGTGTACTCAAAACAACATGTTTCCTCCTTCAATACAAACTAGAGAAATCAAAGGACCAAAACAAGGGATTTTGACTCATACCTAAAATCACAGCTCTTGGCAGCTAGAGACAAGGGGGTCGTAAATGACAGCCTTTGCTTGCTCATATAGTGAGACTTGGTCTTAATAAAAAGATCCAGTTGAGATCCATTCATCAAGAATGATGCCAACCTATGATGCTGCCTGGAATGCTGGGACCCAGAGGCTGAATGGTCTAGACATGTAGGATAGAATTTACTGCTCCTAAATCCTTCTAAGTACCACAAGCCTATTTTAAAGTTAACTGAACAGTTTAAAAATAGTTGCTTAGTGAAGATATGCAGAGAAATAGTCATGAAGATTCTGATGTGTTTTCTGTTCTCTCGATCTTAACAGATTAAAGAGCACCTTGCAAAGGGGCAGCGGATGCTGGCAGGTGATGGAATGTCCCAGGTCACCAAGACGCTGTTGGATTTGACGCAGAGGAAGAATTTCTATGCAGGTGATCTTCTAGTGTCTGTGGAAATCCTCAGAAACGTGACAGATACATTTAAAAGGGCAAGTTACATCCCTGCATCGGATGGTGTCCAGGTAAGAGAGATTGAGCCTGAGAGACAAGATCGGTATAATGGGCCCCCCTCCCAGACGCCAGTATACTCACCTTGGAGGTAGCTGGAAGGAAGGAATGTTCATTGCTTCTTCAAAACACCTTGACTGTGTGTAATGTGGACTCTGGCAGTGACCTCAATTCCCGTAGAAATGCTACACCTCAGTATCCTCACCATTAAAATGCTCACATTAAAACTCAAGGAAAGACCAAATGAGCGTATGTGTAAAGTGCTCTGAGCCCGCGGATGAAAAGCATTATCGCAAATTCAAGGTGGTATCGTGGATATTTTATTCCCACATTTAATATCACCATCTTGCCATAGGAGACTATTAAAAGTACATTAGGTATAATGAAAGCATATTAAGTATAGCATGCAAAGAAGGCATAGTGTAACATCTGTATGAGGACTTCTTATTTGAAACAGGGCAAGCATATTTAACATTGAGAACTCTTGCCTAATAGTGTAAGGCACATAGAGGATCATTTGAAATGGAAAAATAAGAAGCTCAGTAGCTCTATGAAGCCTTTTGACCTTGTCATGGAAGACCTTAGACCAACATCATTTACCTCCATAATATTGCTAAGTACTAACCCACTTGAGTGTTGCCTTGCCGTTAAAAGAAAGCCCAATGAAACAGCATAGTTAATGTAAGGTCATTGTGTACTTTTAGATTAAGACCTTTTCTGCTGTAGACTAAAATGTACTCCTGCTCAGTTGATTTTTGCATTTCCAGCAAAATGCAACTCTGCTATCAAGAAAAACACTGAATTGTCAACGGAATCAATCATGAATGACACCAATGCTCTGATCTGTATCCAGGCGTGAATATTTCTAAGAAGATCCCATAGACAAATGAAAGCTTATGTATGTAGGAATGATGCACACTGCATTCCATACCACACCAGGAGTGTCTGGTATCTTAATGGCAATAATGGAAAAGATGTTAGGTAGAAAATTAAAATCATTTGAGCATCTTGAAGATACTTTTCTTGTAGAAATAGTCTAGTATTTTAATAAATTAAGTAAGCAACATACATATTTACCCCTACTCTCCTGAAAATTTTTATTAGCACTACCATAAAAAGCTAGTATTTGAAGTTCTTGACATAATATACAATAAAATATATTCATAAAAGAAAAAGCATAAGACATATACTTATAGAAAAACCACCACACATAACATAACATTAAAGTCTCTAATTTGACAAAAATGCAAGGCTTGGAGTTTTTTAGTTCAAAACACTTAAGACTGATGATTTACATTAGAAACACGTTTTTATATCCTTCCTTCCTTTTTTATTTTTTTGATTTTTTTGAGACAAGGTCTGACTGTGTAGCCCTGCTTGGCCTGAAAATCACTGTGTGAACCAGGCGACCAGGTGAACCTTGATGTCAGATGTCTGTGTGCCTCTGCCTCTCAAGTCCTAGGATGAAAGGTGTGTGCCAACAGATAATACCAGAAACACCTTTTTATTGAGCTACTTGTTATAGACTTCAGTCATGCAACACTTAATTTGACCAGTTGCCTGGGCAGGAAATTAGTAGATTTGACTCCCGTAAAGCGATCTTCCTGGGTCATTTAGTGTAGTGTGAAACAGGATCCTTCATGGCTCATACCTCTGTTCACTCCTCAGCAATGATGCAGAGTGCTAGGCACTTTGGTGTCTTCCTCCTTCCCTCACAAGCTGGGCCTCTCTGGTTTACTGTTTTCACTGGTATTTTGAGCTACCTGCAAAACCCTCCATCCTCTGCTGGAATTCTCCTCTTTTTTTCTCAGGCTCTCCCAATCCCAGTTCAAAAATCACAAGTCACTTCATATGCCAGATTAGCAAGCCCCGCAGTTACATTAGAAATTAATTTTGGTTCCTCGAATCATTCAGAAAATCTTATGCCTCTTTCATTCTGCTTTTGGCAATCTAATGTAAAGTCATCTGCACATACCCATGATCTCCTTTGTTTCATTGTAAACTCGGGATAATGGCTGTATTCAGTATCTCCTGCACTTTGTGTAAACTTCAACTTGCCCTGCATAAGGCCTCCTTGAGCATTTTGGATGGTATGGTATGAAACCCCAGGTTTAATAAAGTGTCAACTGATTTTTCCCTGAAATACAAGTCATCATGTATTTCCTGCTCTTCATTATAAAATTGCCGGTTCCTAGTCAGTAACAGCATCATGTAGATTTCCTTCATCTTGCTTTGCTGTGGAATCTGCCTTGCAAGTCCTCTTGCAATCTCTCTTTCGTCAGTAGTCACACTGGTATGCTAAGCAAACCTCTAAGCATCCCCACCTAGTTATTTCTATGGCCTCTTCCCTTTGTTTCCCCTTACATCTTGATTAATTTGGACCCATGTGGCACACTGTTCTCCTATTAGCTATCCTAGAACAGCTCTTGATATGTCAGCAGAACTTCCAGGCTCCTTGAGTGATTGCCCTTTACCTTGGTGTCTAGTATGCTATGGATGGTGTTCATTACCTCTGCTCCCATTCAGGCACAGGACCTTAGTCACCTTAGCCACATTAGCTGCTTACTGCTGTCCAGATGTGCGACATGTTCTTGATTCTGTGACATTGTTTCCTCTGCTTCCACACTGCCTTAGTCTGTCTTGACCTTGCAAATTATTCTGAGTCCTATGAGTCTCAGTAATCCACGGCATCTTCTCTCCTATGTCCCATTCCATCTTTGCACTCAAATGAGACTCTTCTTGAGAAAAAAAAAATGTTGGACCCTAGGAAAGCCTCAGCCCATGACCCCAAAATTAAGTTTAGTGTAGAATCTTGATTATAGAAGGAAGTTAACAAATAGTTAGATTTAATTACAGCCAAACTAATAATCAAATAATTGTCTTTTGATTGCTTTCATAACCTTGCCTCCTTCCCCACTAAAATTGGGAAATGACAGCCAAAGTTCAAAGGAATGTTAGGTAAAACTGTACACAAAGGTCCCATTCTTTTGAAGATAGTTAGATGCAGGATATTTCATTTGAAATGGCTAGCAATGCTGACAGGAACAAAGAAGAGCTGTTGAATGGACTGGATGTGTTGACGAAAGAGTATCACAATCACCCATGACAGATTAATCTTGGCTTAAAATCTCTCCATGGAAATTTGTGTTCATCTGAATTTCTAAATACCAGGAGGACCTTGTGATCTTAGATTTTATGTTTACTTCTTTAATAATTATAGTTTATGATCTGAAAAATTCATGGGAAGAAGTTTAATGAAAAATCCATAGGACCATTAACCTACCATTAAATATATAAGCTATATAAATAATGGTTGTTGCCTTCGCCTTTCAGTTCATAGGAAACTTACTGCTTTTAATATAAGTCAGATATTTTCTCTCTGCACTTTTTGAAGTGTGCATGTGCTGTCTGTGTGGGGGAGGGTGTTCTGCATGCATGCATGCATGCATGTCTGTGCATCAAATGTGTGCTACATCTATTCAAATTGTATTAAAATTAACAAGCAATAAATTTAACCTTAAAGCAAGTACATTTCCCCTTTCAACACTGTCTCATAGGCAACTGTTGCATATTAATGTTTATCATCAAAATGTATATAATATCTATTCTTCAGTTTTAATGCCAGAAATTTGAAACACAAGAGAGAATGATCAAAATATAACCAAATAAATATTTTATGTGATTATTAGTACTACAAACAAGACTTCACCAGCTCTTCAAGAGGAGAATTTAATATGGTACATGGCTGGCATACCCGGCCTCATCAACTGGTGGAAAAATAAAGCTCCTCATAAATCATGCTATTTTTATCTTTAGATATGATTCTTAAACTATGTTTTTTCCTGGGTGAGATGATACCAACTTCCACACCCATGACTGCTCTGCATCTTTCTAACAAAGAAAGCTGTGGAATGTAACTATTCTATAATATTTTTGTTGTTTTTCACTTTACATCTCTCTTTAATTAATGAGATATTGAAATTGAAAAATATATGTTTATATGTCTTAGACTGAGATGATAAAGTATTATTTTATTCTGTGAGTCGATAGAGCATCTTCCAGAAGCCTTTTTCTCTCAAGTCTATTCTTCTCCAGGTCTGTACTCTTGGTCATAACTCCCAAAATACAGTAATTCCTTTATGTGGTATGATCCTTGCCAAAATTACACAGATTCTTCAAGGTTTGGCTCATGGATAATTTCTTCTCAAAGGTCTTCTCACCAACTTCTACCCATGAGGAGAATTTTTTACCATTTGGTCATTTGCAACCTTGTGAACACATTTTATGCAGCACTCACACATGACATCGTAGTGTTATGTCTACCCTCAGGTATTAATTTTAATCTTATTGGAGATGAATATGTCTCTGGAGCTTTACTTAACACATGAAGCATAGCAGATACTCAGATGTTTTTTCAAATAAAAAAAGGAATCAGGGAATTATTAATGTTTGGAGATTAATATGGTTTCTCATTTACAAAATAAAATGGCCCAATCAAATTCAGAGGCAGAAATGTCTTCATTTAAAATTTTGTTGTCATTGAAAATTTTACTCCAAGTCTGATTCTATCTATAGAGGACTGGATTGACCCCAAGTCCCACTTGCCCGGAAGTAAAGGTCTAACCAAGTGAATACTTGGAACAGATATGTGTAAGCTCCTCTTTGATTTCATCTATTATCAATCTCAGAATTCCAAGGCCCTTTCGTATGTTTCTGTTATATCATTTCTTCATCCATAAAAATGCAACATTAAGGTGTAAGACCATAGTTGATTTTCATTATTCTTGGAATTATAGGTAACAATAGCAAGCACGGAACTGACACTGAATCATTGGTCCCTAGCCAAATGGGGATTAGGTTTCTTTGAGAATCTAGTCCCAACAATTTCATGATTTGATCACACTGACATTGATTGTTGTGGCTTCCTGATGAAAGACACCCAGTTTAATTCATATTAGTGATGCATGGATATTGGTATATTTAACACATGGCCTGCCTCTGTAAAGTATACTAT